TGGCTTCTTTGCCTGTGTCCTGCTTTTCTGTGAGGAATGGAGTTTCAGAAAAAGTCCTGGACCTGGCCCTCAAGCAGGCAGGGACAGAACCTCTTGTTCTTAATGGGGTTCTTGTAGTGGAGATCTATTGCTATATTTCTGAGCAACCACAGGTTATTCTCCTAGGAGATGCTATATTATTAGTATATAAAGTTTGCTGAAGAAAAATAAACTGTTAAAAGCAGATAGAAAATGACACATTTGTTTAGTTCTTCAGATGTAGGAAATGTTTGCAATGAGTTCTTTGCATTTTGAATAGTGGTGGGAGAAAGATTCGTTGGTGAGAAGTTCCTGTGGGAATTGCTTGGAGATAAGATAGAGGTTGTGGAATTTCACACATCCCTTCAGGTATGTGTGGAATGCTACAGGTGTGGTGAGTTGAAATGTTACAGTATATTTCTCTGGCTTTCTGAAGCGTTAAAGATCTCTTTACGAATATTGCCCCTATTTGTAATGCTGAGTGTTTAAATCCTTCATGTTATCTGTATTATACTGTATAATTGTGTAATATACGTATGTTTACAATAAATTCTTTTATTAGCTGTGCTAGGATTGCCTTGACTGTCATCTGTCACTCAGAGTTTCTCCAGATCCACAGATATTTTTGTACCCTGTGTATTCAGAATGTTGTAGTTAGTTCTGGATTCTTATCCAGAGGAATTGATCTGAAGGAAAAGGTAATTTCCCCCTTTTCTAGTTATTTTAAAAAGCATCTGGTTTTGGAAGCTGGGGGAGGGGAAGCCAGGAGCTGAGCTCCTCTAAGTTTTCATCTTCCAGAAGAGCCTGTTTAAATAGCAAATCGTTGGTTTTGGAAGACTTCTGAAAAGTAAGGTGGGTTGAGGTGGGCCCAGCTGCCAGATGCCCACCCAGCTGCTCTCACTCCCCTTCAGAACTCAGGAGAAGGTAACATGTCTTACATGGGTCAGGATAATGTACCACAGAATCACTAAGTTTGGAGAACACCTCTAAGGTTACCCAGTCCAACAGTGGCTGCCAAGCCCACCATTAACCATGTCCACAAGTGCCACAGCTATGAGGCTTTTAAATGCCACCACAGATGGGGATGCCACCACTGCCCTGGGCAGATCAACGAAGTCCTTGGATAAAAACAGGGACGTTGTGTACTGGTTACTGCTATCGGCAAAACAGGCTCCATTTGGGGAAAATTAGTTGAAGGAAGATTTATGGTGAGAGGCAAAGACAAAAAAAAAGCCAATCCCCCCCACCCCAAAAAAACAGGCAAAAGCCCCCCAAACGCCCAAATGCTTCCCCCCCGACTTCTTTTTTGGTGTCTTCAGTCCTTCGCCGCTAACTGCTGCCTCCTCCCTCCCTCAGGCCGGCCACGGCTCCTCCGGCGGGGTTGGCGCCCTCAGCTGCCCGGGGGCGGCGGGAACCGGCGGTGCCCGGCATGGAGTGCACCCTCACGGAGAGCTCTCACAGAGATTCCCCACCACAGCTCCCTCCTCTCAGAGACCCCCCTCACAGAGATCCCGCCACTGTTCCCTCCCTCAGAGACCCCCTCATGGAGACCCCCTCACAAAGATTCCCCTCACAGAGACTGCCCCCAGCTCCCTCCCTTTAGAGACGCCCTTAGAGACACCCTCAAAGAGACCCCCCCAAGCTCCCTCCCATCAGAGACCCCTCACAGAGATCCCCCCACTGTTCCCTCCCTTCAGAGACCCCCTCATGGGGACCACCTCGCAGAGACTCCCCCCAGCCCCCTCCCTTTAGAGACGCCCTCAGAGACATCCTCAGAGACCCCCTCCACAGCTCCCTACCCTCACAGAGACCCCTCACAGAGATCCCCCCACTGTTCTCTCCCCTCACAGAGGACCGCCCCCCCCCCAGCTCCCTCCCCTCATAGAGATCCCTCACAGCTCCCTCCCCTCAGAGACCACTCACAGAGATCCCTCCACAGCTCCTTCCCCTCACAGAGATCCCTCCACAGCTCCTTCCCCTCACAGAGATCCCTCCACAGCTCCTTCCCCTCACAGAGATCCCTCCACAGCTCCCTCCCCTCAGAGATCCCTCACAGCTCCTTCCCCTCACAGAGACCCCTCCACAGCTCCTTCCCCTCACAGAGACCCCTCCACAGCTCCTTCCCCTCACAGAGACCCCTCCACAGCTCCCTCCCCTCATAGAGATCCCTCCACAGCTCCCTCCCCACCACCCCCGGCCAGCGCCGGGCACCGGCACTTCGGACAGGAACCGAAAGAGTAAGCGAAGTTACCAAACTTCTGTGTTCTCCCTGCCCTGTGGGGAGGAGCCCTGGGTGTCTGTGAGCAGAATAACGCGCCGTTGTTTTTGGAAATGCTGCAGAACTCCGTGTTAGTGCTAAATGCCTCAGAAGTGCCTCCTGCCCTGGAATTAAACACAGCCTTTCTGGGCTCATGGCACCAGCGATCCCTTTGTGGCAAACAGGTTGGTCTTTAGGATCAGACATTGCTGCAGTGGCCAAGGCAGGGGAAATGGGGGTGACTAAGGTAGAGGTGATAGGTTTGCATCTGATTGTTTGCTCTCAAAGAAATTAGTGCAATGCACAGAGAAACGTGCAGTTTATGAAAGCAAGCAAATCAGTAATGTGCTGCTTGTGAATTTTGCAAGTTCACAAGAAGAACTCTCCTGAGCAATGGTGTATTTCCCACACCAAAGCTTACATTGAGCATGTGGCAGTGCAGGTATTCACTGCTCCCTGCCACAAAACTCACCTTCAGCATGCCAACAGGCCAGGTGTCAGCAGGATTAAACAAAACAAGCAGGTTCAGTGTCACCCTAGAGATAGTAAATTCTAAAGTTACAGGTGTAAACTCTTCCTTTTTAAAGGACATTTCTTTATGTGTCAAATAACCCTTACTTGCAGTGTGATTCACAATCGAAAATCCTTGAGGGACTTGGACATGGGCCCAGAGCAATTGGGAAGACAAATACTAGTGTGAGAGCAGTGTTGGAAGCAATTCTGGCATCACGACTCCCTGGAGCCTGCAAAACTCATGCAGATTTGACTTCTTCAGAGGAATTTGGTGTGATACCTTTCGATGTGGCTGAGGTGGGCATTTTTCACACAAAATCAGGTAAGCTGCAGACACTGACAGCCAGTGGCATCACCCTGGACCTTACAGTGGTAAGTACCTGCTCACTTTTCCTTGTGTTCATTGCTCAGGTACATTGAGCAGCAGCTTGAGAGCCTTTGGCTTTCTCCTGGAAGTCTCTTGAGGCATAGCTGGAAGAGCTATTGCGCTGTCTAGGGAAGCTGGTTGTATCTCCAGCACTTTTACTGACTGAAATGTTCTCGGGAATAACTGTAAAGCAGTGGTCTCTTCTAACCTTCAATGCCATCACCTTTTCCTGTGATTTATGTGAGATGGCAGAGTGAAACTGAGGTGAAACAACAGGGCACAGCGTGGGTACTGCAGAAAGGGATCTACATCAAAGTGCATCAAACCTCTGTGCATTTCATAGGGAATCCAGCTGGGCCACAGCTCTGAGTGTGCCCTCAGGCTGTCCTTGCTTGGGGCTGTGCCTGGGGGAAGGTTCCAGGAGTAAGGAACTGACTGCTGATGGCTCTGAATGCATCCCCTGATGCACTGCTTGGTGTCCAGTGTGCCCTGCTGTCATGCAGTGACAAACTGTACTGCAAGGTTGAATATCTGAGGGTTGTATTTTACAACAACAACAAAAATATGTGAGAGAACCAATAGCCAAAATACATTTTAATTTATTAAATTAAATCCAGTCCATTTGATAAAATACAAGCTTATTATATTACCAATTTGTTTAAACCTGGGTCTTTTTTTTTAAGAAATACAGTCAAATAAGAAGTGACAATAGACAATTTCCTTTTTACTTTTTTTTTCTTGCTGTTAATAAAGTCCAGGATTGAAATGAACTTAAATTGTTTGAACAAAACTGTTAAAAACATTATAAAGAGATTAAACAAGCAGATTGAAATCTTAGAAACATCTAACATGCAAAACTTCTTTTAGCACAGTTTGAATGCTTCAAATGAATTTCCTGAAAAATGAATTTCCTGAAAAATTGTTTTGGCAAGCCTGGGATTACTGCAGGTTTCTCCAAGGATGAGTGTGGGACGAGCCATCCCTTGTCCCAGCCAAATGCAGCTCACTGCAGGTGCTCCCTGCTCTGGTGGTTGTGTTGGGCCCCACTGTGGTGACCAGGGATGGCACCATTAAATTCCCTCATAATGCAGTGAGCAGATGCTGTCTGCATGTATTGCAAGTACAATTCACATGCCAACAGCTCAAAAATGGTTCTTATGGGAATTATCAGCACTGCATTCATTTTAGCAGAATCCCCAAAGTTCATTAAATTTGTCTTAGACTTCAGCTAGTAAGAAGGTTAAGAAAAAATCCTCCTGTGTAAAAGCCTGTTTTATTACAGATGAATGAGGATCTGATCACTGTTCAAGTCTGAGGATAGTTTCCCTTGTTCTGGGCAACACACATGTGCTGCAAACACAGAGTAAAAGTTTTTCAATTTCTTTTTCCAAAATAATTAGTAAATCCATTAAATGAGCAGTAGGCTAATTATATTGCATAAGTTATCGAAATAGAAATTGTAAAGTCTCGATGAACAAAGGCTAAAAAAATGGTTTCTTAAAACACATGTACCTCAGCAAAAGTTAAATGTGCAGCAGTCTAAAAAAATCAGCTTCAGAACAATGACACTTGGAACGGCCTATCTCAGAAATGACAGATGGCTTACATTCTACATTACATTTCTCTTTAAGAAGAATATCTAAGTAACATTCACTTGTGGTTGTTCCTAGCATTAGCATTACCAATATACAGGCGATAATTGAGGAATTTCAAGGCAATATTTTCCACCTTGCATATGCAAAGAGTTAACATTTATTAAAAGTATAAGCATATCCTTTTAATTAAAGGATCACAAATTGCTTTAGGTAAAATCCATGTACAATATTTACAGTCACCCTAACAGCCATACAAGTTATGTAAGTATCTTAGATCCTCTGGAGAGTACAGGTGGGTGCCTGGCTGTATCCATGCACTCCTCTCCACACCAGTCTGGTGCACTGCTGTCAGGGCTGTCTCCTGGAGTTCAGTCCTCTCTTGCTCCTGCATCAGCTTTTTGGAACTATCCAGCTTCCCAGCCTTAAAGGCCCAGGACACTGCATGTGCCAGATTTATTTTAGAGTTCAATGACATTGGCTTCCTCCAGCTTCTAAAACAACTTTGGAAGTTCAGAGCAGCCCCTTTGAAGCTGTGCTTTCTGGTGATGCCATCTCAGGTCCTACTCCCAAACCCCCCCAAGAAGCTCAGAAGTCAGCCAGACTACTCCCTCTCTTTCAGTGGCCTACTTAGAGGGTGTTGCTAAATAAAACTGGTTTGGGTTTTAATTATCCATCCTGCCTGCACCCGTTTTCCCTCCTACCCTGTGTATTTGTGAGTGGGGCTGCTGCCTGCAATCCTGCCTTTGCTGCCCAGAGTCAATCTCCTAATGTGACGCCAGCTGGCATAGTAATGAACCTGCTCCTGTGAAAAACTAGGTCACTGCTTGCAGCGTGCTGTGCCAGCTCTGAACCAAGCTTTGCGGTTTGTTGTGTGAACAGAAAGTGTGTGTGCATGTCATTAATCACTGGAGCTGCTTCTGGTAACACCGGGCCTTTGATCTTAACGCTCCTCATGAAAATTGCATAGTGGTACATCTTAACAGCAACTCCAGGTTTGAGCTGCCTGGCTGTGAGGAGGGTCCAGGTTCACACGTTGAGGATCCGTGATGGCGCCTGGAAAACAGCAGAAGGGTTGGGGGAGAACCTGGTCTTCACCTCTGGGATCTAGAGGGGTGAGGAAAGGAGAAATGCACATTAGTGTCACACAGGATACAACTGCCAAGAGTTTGAGGGGCCTGGGATGTTGTGAGGATCCATCTGCTCTCCCTGTAACCATGCCCAGGTGTTAACCCAGTGAGACTGGTCTTGCTGTACAGGGTGATTCAAGGGCACGTGTGATGCTGGCAAACACTCTGCAAGCACCACAACAAATTCACTGCTGGATGGGTGCTGGATTGAAGTGAGAGGAATTACAGTGGTGTGTGTCTGGTCCTCAAGCTTTTGGAGAATGCCATCCAGGCTCCATCAAAATGTTCCACTGCAATGCTTTGTGGGGCCACAGCCCATGTCTGCTGTGAAGAGAGGTGCAGACCTGGAGGACCCAAAGGAGAGAAGCTGGTTACTGGAGATGCCAGGCTGTTAAACTACAAGGACTTGGATAAGGATGTAGACTTCTCACGCCTGGAGGAAAGGCAGAGATAACAATGGTTGCTTTCTCTGATGTCTGTGGAATCAGAATTTCATGCAATATGCAGCCCCTGTAGTTGTACTGAAGCATGAAGGACACCTGGATGCTTCTGTCATCCCTAATGCTGAAAACTCAAAGGATTTTATATAGGACTGGCTGTAGATGTGCATCCAGCCCAGGACTCGGAGTGAATCTGGCCATAAAACATGAAAGGGTTGAAAGCTCTGCTGGCTATGCTGATGGCACCATCCAAGCAGAGAAAGAAGTGCAAAACTACAGACAAAGAGAGTACAGGGAAAGCTATTGATCTCTGGTTGATGTTGTTTCATTGTTCTGATTTTTCCATTCCTCTGGGGATGCATCTGACACACCAAGGAACAAGTGCAATGTCATAAAAAACATGCACAGCTCAGTGGCTGGGGAGAGCCAGCAGCCTGGGTCCTGCATGCTGGCTGTCAGGACACACCAGAAACCTGATTCCCATGTCTGGCAAAGCCAGGGGCTTCAGGTGAGAGGGAAAATCCTAATGGCCAGGTGTGAACCAGGGAGAAGTGCCTTCTCTTTGGACTGGTGGCTTCTTGGCACCATCTCCATTCCTGGCTACACCTTTGCCATGCTGTCTGTTAGACAGACTGTGATGGTGCCCTGGGGCTCCAGGAGGTGGGACCTTTGCTTGCATGGTTCAGAGAGCAGTGGCCTTGGTAGCATGTGTTTGTGTCTAGGATTCTAGGCTTTGCTTTCCCTTCCTCAAGAACTGGGATAGGGACCTTCAGGGGTTTATCTGGAACCCCCTTCTTTGCATCATTTCTGACAAATTGGAAAACACCATGTTTTTACTCCCTAGGGTCAAAATGCAAAATTAAATTAACAAGGGTCAAATAGAACGTTAAAGGGTTAAATGCAAGGTGTATCCTCATCACTGCACCTCAGTAAACAGCCCAGGCTATTCAGAGCAAGGAGGAAGTTTTGGTGAGGTTTGCACATTCAGTTTTGCCTGAGGTCACTGTCCCACTTTCAGCAGAGCTGGCTATACCCACCCTGAGCCTTGTTGCAGCAGTGTGCCAGCAATCCTCTGCGGAGGAGGCACTTGACTGTGTGCTGATTAAACACTTCTTCCTTGACTCCTCCAAGGCAAAGATTTACTTTGCACATGTGGCCCTGGAGTAGCTGCTGTTACCTCTGCTGGCACAGCTCACTGTGGCTGGGGAGTTCAGCCCCAGCCCTAGCTCTGCATTCTGACTCATTCAGTGCAGCCTGTGAACAATTCCTGTGCTGTTCTCTTTGGTGGTCTAATGCAAAAAGCAGCTAAAACAGAGCCTTGTCAGTGTGCACTTCCCTTTCTTCTAGGGATGGGGAGTGTGGGGGGCCCTGTCAGGGAAAATGCTGAGCACAAAATGTTTCCTCATGGGATTTTCAACAGCACCTGTATTTCACAGCCAGAAAATTATCTTTGCTGGTATAGAGAAACTCACAGAAAAAAACTGTAGAGACTCACAGGAAAATCCCAAGGAAGCCTCAGAGCTGTGCAGCTGTTCGTGTGTCCTCCTTGGCATTTATACTGGGGGCAGCTTCTGCCCACACCAGCAAGGGGGAGTTTTGTGCTGTCTGGGCAGGTGCTGTTCCTTAGGCAATGATCTGCAGATCCCCAGGCAAACACCTGTGCCCAGAGGCCAAATCTCTCTCTGCAAGCCTGGTGCTAGTCCCCACTGACTGCTGCAAGTTAGTGCAGGAGGTGTCAATGGCACCTTACACACAGAGGGGTGATGGCACACACCTTGTACATATGGTGTCCAACTGAGGGAATTGTAAATCTTGAACTTCTTTCCAGTTTAAAACCTTTGTCTTGGGCTGAATTATGATCAGTTACAGTATGACATTGTCTAGCATGCCTTTCTGAAGGGAAGGGATGGCCACATTACCTAATGGGCAGAGACAAAACAGTTGTCCACAAGGATGTGGCTTCATCCTAATTGCACCTCAGCAATCAAATATGAGGAGTTCCAGATGTGCACTTTGGGCATTATTCACATTGACTTTAGGATTTTTAAAAATAGCTAATTACCTTAAAGTCTGCCTTGTAGCTTGTCTCTTGGACAAAATGGTCTTCTGGGATAATGAAACCTTGTTTTGACTTTATAGGCTTGGATGGTTTTGCTCCAGTCCATGGGCGATACTCTTGTCTGAAATGAGATTGTCAAGACAGAAGAACTTGTAAAAGACAACATTATCACAGGGTACTTCTGCTCAGAGGGTTACAAAGGCAGAAGACAAGGTGGGATGCAAGCAGCTTGCAAGGCTGACTTGTCTGAGGCACACCAAGTGTTGAATAAAAGAACTGAGCCTAGCAGCCTGTCTCTCTCAGAAAGCCCAGACTGAAAGATGGAACAGGGCACACACTGGGCTAACTGGATTCCCTGACTTAACTCTTCTTTTTTTCCTACAAAATGTGCTCTTTCCTGGAGGTCATTGGTGCTTCCCTCCTGGATAAGAAGTAGCCAGGGTAATTTTTTGCATGCTAGCCCACAGACCACTTACAAGGTAAAACACTGTCTGGCACATTGGCCACTCACATTTTAAGACACCTTGGTCTGATGTGTGGCCCTCACAAAAGCCAAGAGCCTGCTGATGTTCCCACACTCGGCTGTGGCTCTCTCAGCAGCAGTGTTTGCCAGTGTGTGCTGTGCTGCACAGCTGTGGCAGCTCAGCCTGAAATGCATCCAGAGGGAGACACCGTCTCAGCTGGCAGATGCTCATGCTGATGATTTTCCTTCAGATGGGGGGGAAGTGCTTTAAATCTGCATGAGGATGTCTGAGAAGGCACTGCTGCTCCAAGAATAAGTCAGCCAAGGGTCATCTGAGAAATGCACAGACTGCACTGAGAAAGGGGCAGCACCAAAGAACAGCATTGCAGGGTCTGCTTAGTTCAGCTGCCAGCTCCCTTCTGCAGCTTTCCCTCAGATTCCCTGCACCCTTTGTCACAAACCGGCCTCACTAGGGCCCCTGCCATCAGGACTTTCTGGGTGCTGCAGCAGCAGCCAGCTGAGCTGTCTTGTTGCTCAGAGGAAGACAGAAGTCTGCTCTGTTTGTGTGTGTATCTCTGGCAACGAATTCAGGCAGCTTCTGTGGCAAAAGGAGAGGTGACTAACCGAGATGTGACAATCTTATTTTCATCCCCTGCCATGGTTCAATAACCACATTTTACTATCTGCTTGTATACAGGATCAAGGGGTAAGACTGAGGCTTTTTTCAATGTGTCAAGCTTATCTTTGATCACAGCCTTTCTGAGTTTCATTTTCCCAAGCATGCTATTTGCTATATTTATAATAGCTACAAATTCCTCTTTTAAATCTCTAACTCAAAATGCATAAGTGTGAAGTATTATTTTAGAATGAGTAGTTTGGACTTGATCCTTTTAGTATATTATGGACAATGTCCTATGGAAGAACTTCCTGCTGTTGGAAAGCAAAGCCAGGCCCCTGTCAGGGCTGTCTGTGTTGCATTGCAAATCTTGTTTATAATCAAGCAGTTTGTTCTTGCTGTCCTGAGCTGCCACCTTCTGCCTTCTCTGCACCACGCTGTTTGAGCCTGCTCAGGCAGCAGGTGAGTGCCCACACAGCATCCCTGGTGCTGGTGCTGGCATTCCTGCTCCCTTCCTGTCACACCTCAGGATAAGGCAGCACTTTAGAAGAAAGGTGATTTGGGCCAAGCAATGCCCCAAGAAGGCAACCTTTCAGCAGGGAATCCCAGATGTGAATGAAAGCAGAGCTAAATCTGACCTCTGTCCTGCTGCACAGCCAGAGAGAGGACACAGCTAGTGGGCAAAACAGCAGCAAAATGGTACAAAACCATCAGTTACCTCCCCACAGTTTCTAGGAACTGGAACCTGCTGCTCCACATAAAGCCCCATTTCCTCAGGAATGCTGGTGGCATTGATTCCTAGCCATTCATGCCTGTGCTGACTGGTCTCCCTGCTGCAATGGAGTGTGTCTCCAGCTTTCAATGAATGACTGTGCTGCCTGCCTGTGCAGCCAATTCTGTCTCAATGCTTTATAGCAGATCATTTGCTGATTTGGCAGGCCCCCAAGCACAGTCCTTTTGGATCACAAGACCCTCGTTTTGGCTGGAAGTCAAACCATTCTCCTCTCAGCCTGGATAGTCAAAACTCTTTTTGAGGCACCTACATGCACTGAGGAAATGCTCCACACAGAATCAGAAACATAAGGGCAGGTACAGTCATGGCCCACACCACAGCAGCATTTCTGGTTTGGAACTGGGAGTTTGCTCTGGGGGAACCCAGAACTCTGAGCCAAAAGTGAGGGGCAGAGCAAAACAGAGACAACTTAGTTTGACTCATTTTGGGAGCTGAGGTACTTAACACAAGAAAGGAATATTATAACCTTTGGTCAAGAAAGTGCAGCTAACTAAATTTGCTCTGCTTCTAAGCTTGCAGGACACATAAGCTTGTATTCCCATCTCCAGCTGCATGGCCAAGTGTCAGAAAGAACACGAGCCCAAATATCAGTCTTGGAGTCATCAGTGGAGTCAATCTGAGCAAAGCCTGGGGAAGAGGAATGACCTGTTTTTAATGTTACTTAGTTTAAGATGTCAAGTGACAAGATTAGTGACTGTCTCCCCCTTTGTACCCTGTGTAGTGTGACATCCAGCTGCTGCTGGGGGTGAATATGTGAGACTGACTGTTGCTGCTGGAGACCACGATCTTCATCCTTCCTGCTGCACCCCTCTCCTCCTCCCCCTGTGCCTAGGCAGCAGCAGTTGTCAGGGTACTCTGGGACTGCAAGGACCTGCAGTGGAGGGAAGGTAGCCTCCAGGCCAGAACTCAGTGACCAGGCTCTCCTGAGGTTCTGTTTTGTCCTCCACTCTTGCAACCTAGAGGTGAGATTTTTGATCTCCATGAACAGAAATGACCTGGTGGTAGTTGAAGTACTAAACCATTGGGGTTGTGAAAGAGAAAGACCTCCTGAGTAGCACACAGGTTTTAAAACAGCAGAGATCAAAGGGGAAGGGCTGGTTTTTATGTACTGCTGTTTCTCTACCTCTAACTCACTCTAGGAATAATTAAGAAGCAGCTTTTTGCCAGTGGGTTGCCCCAGTGCTTTGATCATATAAATCACTGCTTTTCTTTGCTCTTTCTCAAAATCTGTTAATAGAGCTTGAGAAAAGGCATTTCTTTTGTAATGTGTGGGGATGTGTCTGCAGGGGAAGGTCTGAATCAGTGCAGTGTGGAGAGGGAGGCTTGTGGCCTGCTGGGACAGTTTCACCCCTGTGGTGGTGAGAGATGGAGCAAGTGGGAGTACAAATAATGCATAGGCTAGAAACAAAGACAAACCAGCACTGGACTGTTAATTACCAGGGTGTTGTGATGAAGCCCAGCATTGATGAGAGCTGCTTCACTGAGCTGCTGTTTATGAGCCACCTCCCCCTGGGGCGAGCAGGACTGCCTGTACCAGGCTGTCAAACAGCTGAGACAGGGACCAGGCAGGAGAGATGGCCCCACCATCATTCACCAGCATGGCCCTGCAGACTTCAGGGCATGATCTGGGAATGATGCATTTGGGATTGGTCCTTCTGTTCTTTCCAGCCACAGTGTCTGCTGCTGCTGCAGCTCGAGCAGCTGGATGCTGTGACTACACAATGACCAGCCTATGTGCTGCCTCCAGCTCTTTCCCCATTCCATGTGCTGTACCAATGTTTGTGCTTTGCAGAGAAAGCTGTCTGCAAAATCCTTTTTATTTCACTAGTGACCTAGTGAAAATCTAGCCTAGAAAGCTTTTTAATTTCACCAAGGTGAAGGGCATTTCTGTTAGGGATAGGGAGGCAGAGAGTGGGAATCCCAACAGTGCTGTTTGCAGTGCTGGGGCTGCTGTTTCCATACAGATTTATCTTCAGCACTGATAGTCATGGAGCACCAATGCCAGAGCAGTTGTCATTTTAGTACCTCATCTTTATGTCACAGTTTGCTTCCCATGATTAATTATCACTGGTGGTTCTGAGCCACTGCATAACATTTTTTATATAAGAATTGGAGAAAAAGGCTCATTCTGTATAGCTGACCATAACTCAGAGCTATGCTGCCTGACCTAGTCTGTGTTCATTGCTCTCCCCTCTTCCTTCTCATACCCAGCACACCAGTGACAATTAAATAGCACCATGAACATTCTTCCAAATTTCCTTTTAGAAGGAACTTGTGTGTACAGCTTGGGCTGTCTGTTATTTTCTTTTGAAAGTACATACTCTAGAGTCCCCTGGAGAAGTCAGACTGGTGTGGGAGAGGTTTTGCCTGAAGGTGTGGGGTGTGAAATGTCTCTGTTTGCAACACAGCTCTTCACAGACTACTGTCAGGGCTGTTGTGGTTTGCCCAGGCAGAGCTGGGTGTTCAGCAGTGCTCTCCCAAGGGACAGGCTAAGTCCACTTGTTGGCAAAGCCCTCCACAGGTCAGGGAGGGTGCTATGATGTCTCCTGGCAAATGGAGGATTGCAGATGTTACAGTGAGAGCTCTGCATGACAGAGTCAGGAGCCCTCCTGGATAATGGAGCCATTGAACTGCTTCTCCTCTGAGCTGTGTCAGACACTGGTGGGGTGCCCTTCCAAGCCTCAGACACAGAGGCAGATTGTGCCCATCCCCCTATCCAGCCAAAGAGCCCAGCATGAGGATAGAAATGGGGGAAAGGCTGAAGGAGGGAGGGAAAATAGAGGGCAGAGAAAAGACGTAGCAGAAAGACAGACCAACACACAGGAATTACAGAGGAGGAAAGCAGAAGCCACTTGGATATTTCCTGTCTCAACTCTCACCTCCAGTAATGTCAGGCAGTACCTGGAGCTGTTCATAAGTCACAAGAAGGAAGCAAGAGCAAAATACTTGAATGAAAGTACAAGACAAAAGCCCTAAGACTCAAACTGTTATCTTAGGGTGAGTTTTAGGGAGTTGTTTTGCTCACAGGCAGATGCTCAAGGAAGGAGCAACTACATTGGTGTGACAGGACAGGCAGCTGCTTCTCATTTATCAGAACTATGTGACTGGGGATGTGTGGGTAGGTCTGAGGGTCTTGACTTCTGCCATCCACTCATTTTCCATTCCTTCACTCTAACATAAGTCTGAATGGACTTTAAGTGGAGGAAATGCCTCCTACTTCAAGGAACATCTTTGAATCCCACATTTCAG